CCCCCCCTGCCCCCTCAGGGCTCTGTGACCCCTCACGGCCCTTTTGCCCGCCTCACACACGGCTTCTGCTGCCCCACAGCCTCACCCGCAGCTTGGCCGCTGTCCTGCCCCAACCGCCCAGTCTCCCTCCACCTCTCTGTCGCTTCGGAGCTGTCCCCTCCCTCACAGCCCTCACCGCTTGCAGCACCTAGCACACACCCCCCTCGGGCGTCCCAGGCACTGCCACTCCCTCTCGCTGCCCTCACCACCCATCCCTGCGCCCAGATTTCACTGCTCCAGACCATGCACTGCCAGCGATTCATGACCCAATGGAATTTCTTCGAGCCAGCCTTCCAGTCCTTCAGGAAAGCAGGTGTTTAACCTCAATTTCTGCTTTTGAACTGCCTTTTTTTTTTCTTTGTCAAACTGCTCTTGTTTAATATCTCCATTTGTTAGCAATGTGCTTTCTCTGTTCTTGTTTTAGTGGGTGTTTTTTACAAAGCTCAGCACTGTGAGGCCCAAACCCAGCGTTATGAGATGTCACTGGTAATTCCTCCTCCTCGACAAGCATCCTCCACACCAGTGTGTGCCTACAGATTGGCATAAGTGGTTTAATGTGATGGTTTAGCACACAGACATATCGATGTGCATAACTGACACTTCTCTGTGTTGTAGGTTATAGGTGTCTCAAAATGTCAGAGTTGCTGTCAGAGTTGTGTTTTCCCTACAGTTCTTTGGTTTGAATACCTCCTGTGAAAATCAGTGTTCATTTGTAGTCCATCCCTCATGAGCAGGCCAAACCCATCAGAAACAATCTCATTCATTTTCAGGCTATGCCACAGGGGCAGGAATCCTTTTCTTTTGTTATCCCGTATGATTTGGTTTTCATCTGCCCTGATGGCTGCAGAGCTGCTTTCAACTGCAATCTCCTATCCCCTTTTCTTTGCTTGTCTGTGCACCACATTTCTAGGAGACAATAAGTGAGGCATGGAGCCATGGAATCACAAAATGGTTTGGGTTTGTTGGGACCTTAAAGCTGATCCAGTTCCAGCCCCTGGCATGGGCAGAGACACCCTCCATTACCCCAGGTTGCTTGGGGCCCCATCCAGCCTGACCTTGGACACTTCCAGGGATGGGGCAGCTACAGCTTCCCTGGGAACCTGTGCCAGGGCCTCATCACCCTCACAGGAAAGAATTTTTTCCCGATATCCCATCTAAACCCAC